TGAAATTAGGAGAGTGCTGAGCTACAGTAAATTTTGGTGCTGACAGACCAATTCCCAGGATAAGGAACATCCCTGAGAAATTAAACTGATTTACTGATGAAGAAGAGGCATTTAAAAATTTAGTAAATCATATCAGGAAAGAAAAGCTACTAAGGGCACATTTAAAATACATTAGTAAGGCTGGCCCTGAGACAGGACACCCTGTTAGACGTATTGCAATTTCAAGAGTTACAGTGCGTGCCCCATCCATTCAGTAGTGTGCAGCACAAACCACAAGCCTGCCAGGAGAAACAGGGACACTGCCAGGCAGTGGTTACACAAGGGAGGAAGCTGTCTGTGTTCAAGTACCAGCTTTGAGTTTCCAGCACTTGATTCAGTGGCAGGGTTTTCAGTAACCTCCTCCTGACATCTGTCAGCAGACAGGTTTAAAATTGTGATTATGTGTAATACCTTGCATCGCTAAAGCAACCTTGCTCCTATAAAAGCACACCTTTTTCCACAGAGAAACATCAAATGTCCCTGTCCAGTGATGCAGTTTTCAAAGATCTCCTGCCCAACACTTCCTTGACTAAAGCTGCAGACAGAATGGCACATGTCAGGTAAAAAAGCAAAAAATTACCTTTTCTGGTGCTGGAGGAGTCGGCTGCGACAAGAGCGCTCTTAGTGATCCCAGCAGCAGCTCCAGCCAGTTGGCTCCCAGCAGCTCTGGCTTTCTCCCCTCGTCCCCTGACTGCCTGACATCTCCAACGTCGGGGAATTTAAACCCTGTCCCAGGCACAGCCACCAATCCCCATGAGGCGGAAAAAGATGAGGTCATGAGGCTCCTGGCCACCGTCCTGCCCACGTTCTCCTACACTTCCTCTTTGGCTTTGTGGCTTTTGTAGCAAACAAAAGCTACTCTATGGTTAAAAAATTACTTATGGGCAAGATCATTAACCAGCAGGTCTGTTGAATGCACAGCGTTTGGTATCGTGTAGGAGGACTTCAGGGCACGTCTGTCCTCCTTTTGTGAAAAGGCAGAGCCCAGTTTCCCAGAAACCTTTCATGCCCTGTTCTGTAGGGGGTAAGAACATGTAATGTGTGCAGGAAGAAAGAGATCTGAACATAAAACTCGCCCAAAAGGTGTTAATGCTTCCACAAAGTTGTAGATTTGCTCCCCAGCATATACACGTTGCAACAGGAATTGCAAAGACAGGGTGCAGAATATGGCCTTTTGCCTTTTTGGTCTGAACTGGGTCAAAAAAAAATTACAGTATTAGTATGTCTCAATAGGCATTCTACACCCAGAAACTTGTTTGTAAAGGTATACAAGAGCCACTGATAGTCTAATTAAAAAGGGTTTGTGCACCATTATCAGAAATTCTCTCCTTTTCTATTCATTTTTATTCCTTCTGGGTCCTTTCTAGCTTCATTCACTCTCTCAGGTGGTTCGGTTGAGTTACCTGCTACAGCTGCCTGCTGCACCAAACCTGCTCCAGAACCCTTTTCAGGGACCAGATGCCAGATATTTTTCAAGCTAAAAAAAGAAAAAGGAAAACAAAAGCAGCTATAGCTCCAGTATGAGGAATACCATGACTAGCATTGGGAAGCAAGGGACAACATGGGATGAAATTCCATGTCTCCAATGGAGCAGTGCCTCGGCCCTGCTGATGGGCGACAGATCTATTCTGGCAGCACCTCACTTGGACGGCCATAGCTTTGGATAGATTCTGCCTCATCTGTGATGTGCTGTAAGACTCTCAGACCCTCTTCCATTCGGTGTTTCTTTAAGATGACGATGAGGTGTCATTCAAACACAGGAAAACATTCCAAACAGCCCTTTTAGAAGGCAGGATATTTGTAACTGTTTCAAAGCGGTTATCTTTCTCCTCATTTCTGATACCCAGCTAATGTTTGATGTGTCCTTAGTCAAGCAGCAACGAAATAGACACCTTGTTGTCCCCGTCCATGTTACCAATTATGCTGCGCTTACTAGCACTTCTGTGGCATGTTTAGAAACACCATGAGAAACATATCCAGCAACTGCCCATCACATCATCACACAGACCTATCTAATTATATTTTTGAGCTGTGAGCAGCAACAGCTAGAATTTTAACTTAGTCTGCTTAATAGACTATTCTAATATCCTAGGAGGAGAATTGGATAAAAGGATAGTTTTATCATTAATAGTTCTGCATGTACATAAACCCATGTATGCATCCACCTGAATGAGGACTATCCTAGCTTTTATTTTTGGAGCTATGTGACCATTATTATTTACTAACTCAGGAAAGACTTTTCAAGCAAAAAAGCCTTCAGTAACTAGGATTTCAGCGGCGTGATCTTCTGCAGATTTAGCTAGCTTATATTATCTCCCATCATATCTGAAGCTCGGTGCTTCTGGAAACCAGACAGTTTATTGAAGCCCTTGAATGCAGATGCAGGACTTGAGCTCTAAGTGGGTGCTATTTAGAAGTTTCAGCTTGAGCATTGTGTAGTAGCTGATACACCCGGGTTATAACACATCACTATTACTTAGTAACTAGGACTGCTTCAAAAGGCCACTGTTGTTGACTCCAGGAAACCCCAAATCAGGCTTTTAGGTCACCGAGTACCTTTGATCCCAAACACCGATACAAATGAACAGTATATCTTGCAGCTCCCCTGACCAGTAAGAAAAAACTGGTTTCATCTGACAGAGTGAGAAACTGAGACAGTGAAGCTTGGTGGCTCACACCACTGAATGTGGGACTGGGTATGCTGGGTCCTGCTCTCCTGTCCACATACACTAGATCAAATTTTAAGCCTGCAAAAACCTACTTTCTCTACCAACCATTCATCAAGAGACACGGAACTGAACACCATTACACTGAAAAATTCCCTAGAGCTGTTGTCTGGCCAAAACAAGAACCTTCCAGCACCTGCAATTTGCATAATGGCATACCACTGTCTCTCAGACTTTCAGGAAAATACATATTATGTCAGGACTTGTAAACAACTTGTTTCACCAAATTCAGCAGCAGTTATCAGTCGTGCTGATGGAGAAGCCCAGAGCCATTAGAACTACAGTCTTCCTGCAGTTTGCTGAAGACCTTCCTGTACAGGTCAATTATCACTGTGGCTTTTCAAGACAAATGTTTTGCCAGTACCTGGAACACTTGTCTCTCAGCAGAGATGCTATGTGACCCCCAGGGAATTGTTTCTGGCAAACAACTGGTATTTCCAGTGTGCTGGGAGATGGCAGTATTTCTGAGTACCGTTGCCAAAGCTAGATGGTCGATTTTGTAAGAACTAAGGAACAACAGTGATGTTTTGCAGTAATCCAGAAGCAGGACATGAAGTGACAGTTATTACTAAATGGCTTCATTTTATGCAAGGTCAGCCAGTACAGAGCTGTAGTAAATTTAGCACTTGTCTCATGCCCGTCATTATGTGGTTATTCATCCTGTAAATCATTTCGTCTAACTGAAAAATCCTTTGCCTTGGTAAGAGGTAGTGCTTCTCATCCTCTCAGAGATAAGGAACAAGCAGGGCAGAAAGGGGGGAACTTTCACCCTTTTCACTTCCCACATTAAAATGCCTAATTCTGGAGAGAGCACCTGGCTGGCGATGGCATAGCAGAAGCAACTGGCTCGAATTTGTACAAGTGGGAAGGTACATGATTTCAGCTTTCAAGACCTGTCAGGGTCTGTGCGAAGCACGATCGTGACAGGCTGTAATTTGTTGCATGTAGGTGACATTTTCTACCAGGCTATCCTGTCAAACAAGGCTTTTGACCACAATTTCTTCCATCTTGGGCTGTGTTAGGAACACATGGTTAGGCTGCCGTTTTGTGTCGTTGAGAAGTGCTATTGGTGCCTTCCTGTGCAGCCTCTGGCACGTACCTAAGATCCTGAGCTGAGACATCAGCGCGATGCCTGGCGATATCTCTGGCCGGCATGGGAAATCCCAGCCTGCCTGCAGTGACCTGTAATGCCCAATTTTTTAGACAGCTGGCTTTTGTTTAGATTTGTTCACCAAAAAGAAGTCTCAGGGGAGATCAGAGTAGCATCCTCTAGGTGGCAAAGACTAAGACTGGGAGAGAGAGATTAATTTCTTCAGCAGCATTAAGAATGCTATGAAGTAAAAGCCCCAAGAAACCCCAGCTTGGCAGGGTTCTTAGAAACAATTGTTTTGCAACTAGAATGTCTCAAAGAAAATCAGACTTAGTAAACAGTGGTTTCTGTGAAAAACAGATGAAAACCAAAACTTTCTTGCATTGCTACCATAAAATACTCCTGAAAAGTACCTTGGAAACTCAGCATGTCGGCCAATATAATATAGCCCCAAAAGCCCTTATATTTTCCCAATTAAAGCTTCAAAAGTGGGGAAAAGCTTACGTTCAGCAGTTGGTAGGCTTAAAAAAACCTTCTGCCACTTAAATAGACTACACAGACCACCACAGCGTTTGTGTCCGGGCCTAGGAGAGTACTTGGTATGCAGAAGGGATATGGGTGTGAGATCTGTTCGATAAAGAAATTACAACAGAGATTTGCTCCTTGCATGTGTGAGCACATGCGATAACGCATGCTGTGCAGCACAACTGTGTATCTTTTGCTTTGCACTGCTTAGAGCATTTCCAAAACAGAGCAGCACTCGAATAAGCAGCAGCAAGTTTCTCCCAAGCAAAACCTCTTGTGGAGTGACGGGGCAGTTCAGAACAATGTGGGGTCCATGACCTTCCAGTCTCCCTGCCACTTCTGATCTGCAGTGCAGCTCAGATGACTAGTTGGCAAGGTGAGCTCTATTTAACCCTCATTCAGGCAACAAAGGGGGTTATGGTATCTTACTTTCCCAGAGTCGACCCTAGCCATTCCTGGGGGGGTTCGCAGAACCGGGCACCGCACTGACCTAGAGATGCAATAGGTGATTCATTGGGACAGAACAGAGACTTTCTGGGAAACAACCCCGCCCTAAGTGGCCAGCATATTAGAAAGTGCCAGTGTTTGACAGATAGCACAGTCTTTTGGTCTGTCCTTACCTCCCCCAGTGTAAAGAGAGGCCCCTCGCTTGTCTCCTTTGACTTCTGAGACTAGTTGCTACCTATGCACATTTTCAAATGCCTTTTTAGGAACAGCTTTGGAAACTGAAGAAAAAAATAAATATTTGAGAAACTGCCATACAGCTGTGGCCCACAAATCCTGGAGGCTGAACAGCCTCAGTCAGATCCCAGCTTTCACAGCGCCGAGTGGCTGCTCCTACTACAGCATAAATACAGTCCAGCTGCCTGTAGCTTCCTAAAATGGAGCCCTACTGACATTTCCTCCCTTGACTTTTACAGCCAGCTAGAAAAAACAAATTTTCTGGATCTTTTTTTCCTGTTGAGATTCATGTATTTTAATACTGAAGTCCATGGAGCAGGAATTAAACCGGCACAGAAACATTATGTTATCTTCAGGTCATCATAGTTACCAGTGCAAAGAACAAAACACCAGATATTCCAGTGCTGGTTTTGTGGCTGTGTTTCAGCTCTGAATTGACAGAAAAAGAATTGCATTTGTTTCAACTGGAAAATTTAATAAACACAATAATAGTCTGAACCACTATTAGAAACAAAAGCAACCAGTGGAAGTCTATATGGTGTACATCATGTTTTCATGACTGTGCCATTTTGTGATGTGTGTAACCATCAAAAAAAAATTTGTTAGAGAACAGGAGGACAAGACTTTCAGCATCTCAATGGGAGCTGAGCTCAATCCGCTCTCTTAAGATGCTGGCTCCGAAGCCTGAACACTACTGCAGAGATAATGCTCCAGGATGAAGGAAAGCACACAAAGTGTGTGTGCTTAAACCCTCTGTATGCTCATAAGAAAGTAACCATCAGTTAGCCAGCTCAGGGCTCACAGTGGGTACTGAGGGGAATTTGATGGTAGGAAATAGCTTCACAGACAATTGCTTTTTGGACAAGCATTGCAAAACCTTTGTGACAAGTTGTTTCCCTCTCTCTCCCCCCTGTTATCTCAGTTCCCTGTTTCCTATCCTACTGCAAAATTTTCTCCTCCCAGTGAGAACGGACACTAATGGAAACATCTGAATCTGCAGAATGGGTATGGAAAGAACAGCATCTTCTTGCTCTGTATTGTGAAACTGTTGGAAAGTCACAAGATGCCTGTTCCACCTAGTGCAGGGACTTTTGGCAGGGCATCACAGGAATGATTCTGCACACCCAGCACCCCTCCGCTTGCATCTTCACTAAGCTCCGCTGGCAAAGCATGAAGACCCACCCCCTTGCTGCAAGAAACAGAACAGATGACAGCGCAGCATGACAGAGAAGAGGTGGACAGAGAAGATGATGGGTGAACTCCTCCTCCACAGTCACCTGCGCACTGCTTCTGTGCATAACTGAGATGAGTACTGCAACCCTATACTGCACAACGGAGGGAGAGTCCTAACTGTGCCCTGGTAATCCTTATCACATAACAGCCTTGATTTTGCATTCCACATACACCATGTTGAGCTCACGTCATGTTTCCACACACAACCACACAAGGCGCCCAGCCTGAGGAGCAGAGTCCAAAAAAGGTTGCTACCAATCCCAGAGACAAACCTTTTACAAGGCACACTTTCTAAGTGCCTCCTGGAAGGGGCCAGTGCAAAACAGATAATTTGGAGAAGTGCCGGGCATTATGCAACACAGGATCACAGCCTGCATATCTGTGGTTATTGGTACACAAGGCGTCTTTTCTGCAGCCTGCCCTGACTTTTCTATCTCCAGAAGGTCTGGGGAAGGTGAAGCGTGTGCTGTACAAGCAGTGCAGGACTGCTAGGACTGGTTGTGACCCTGTCGGTAAACCTGACCTCAGACCCAGGCTGGGCTACACACCAGAAACCCTTCAGATTTCACGTGGTTGCAGGTTTTGTTGTGAGCAGTTTACTTAACTCAGTCTAGGGCTGCCATGGTCTGAGGTGGGATGGATGCAGAACTGAGTCAGTGTGAAAGCAAACATCTCCCGGGCACTGTGCGCCAGGGTGTGGAGCCCCTGCCGGTGGAGTGGGAGGAAAAACCCATCTGTGGGCCTGATGAAGGGAAATTAAAGAGTTGGGGACTGGATTTGGGGAGGAAGTTGTTTGGCTGAGAAGCTGATTTGATTTTGTATGGGAACCAAAAACCAGCACACTAGGGTCAAGGCCTCTGCCATCCTGACTGAGTCAGAGAGATTCCCCACAGCTTGCTCAAGCTCAGAGGTGATGAGGCTGCTTTCCCTCAAAGCCCATCCAGGCAGGAGCTCTGCAGGAACCAGGCTTCACTGCAGCAATGGATCGTTTTGATTCCGGCTTGGAAAGCCAGGATATCTCCTGCATGTCAGGATACTTCATCTTAACTGGTATTGGGGTAGCCACCTCTTGCACAACAAGCAATCTATGTGCCAATAGAGAACATCACTCAGACGCAGCAATTTCTCCTTGTGTTTTGCATATTAAAATTGTATTAATCCTTTCAATTTAAAAAAACTGGGGTTTTTTTTGATGGAATGGGAAGTAGTAACTCACACCTGACAGGCATTACCATCAGCAAGTCAAAGATGATGTTAATTTTCCTAATTGTATAATTTTTCAAGTAAATAAGATAAATTGATATACTAAATAGTTCAAATGATGGGTAATATAAGTGTCTGAGAAAAAAGTAAAAAGGTTTCTTCTCATTAGAAAGGTACCTTCCCTTCCTGCCCTCCCCCCTCCTCTCTTGTTCAGCCAGTTTTCTTTTCCTTCCCAGCCTCCCTTTTAGCAGGACTGGAATGCAAAATATTTTGGTTTTGAAAGCACCT